GGCGACGGGCAGTGCCAAGTCTGTGAGACGGGGCGGATTTCGAATCAGGGATCTATCACTTGTGAAGATTGTCCACCCGGGAAGATGTCAAGCAGCAGCGCTAGTAGTTGCAAGGATTGCGCTGCTGGAAAGTACTCTTTTGGTGACACGTTGTGCCAGGAGTGTGAAGGCGGCACGGTTTCCGAGCAAGGATCTTCGAATTGCAAGGCATGCCCAGGTGACCTTCAGCCTACCAACAGCCGATCATCTTGCGTTTGTCCAGCTGGTACAATGCTAGTCAGGAGCAGCACGTGCGAGCCTTGTCCACAGGGTGGCGTGTGTGTTGATGGAGTTGTGGTGTCCGCGATTTCGAGACACTGGCTCCCTGCTGGGGACAATGCAATGCCTGTCAAGTGCCCCTTGGGCGAGAGGGATGGCGCATGTCTAGAGGACAACAACTGCTCAAACGGCTACACCGGCAGTGCATGCGCGATTTGCGCAGATGGATTCGGACGCTCTGACTCGCGTTGCGTACCGTGTACTGGAGCTGGGATTCGGTTCTATATTGTCATGGCAGTGTTCGCTGCGATCGCCATTATCTGGCCTGCGCTGAGGGAATTCGGACCCGACGCCAGCCAGATCCTGAACTTTGCCGATCCGGATCAAAGTGCCAGTGAGGTTTCCACGGGCGATTTGGCGGACAGTTTTGCTGTGTCTATTACTGTCGCCTCGCATGCTTCCAGAGTGAGCCAGTCGGTGACAGGGGCTGCGAGTCGGCTTGAGAAGTTGTTGACCTCGCACGCCATGCGTGTAGTGAAGGTGCAAGGCCGGATATTGTTCCTTTTCTTGCAGGCATCGTCGGGATGGATAGTCACGCTCTACGCCACGTTCCCTCACATATTGGACTCGAATTTCGACGCGTTTCACACTGTCGTCACTTCATGCACTTCCTGGGTCCATGCTATAGTCAACTCCGACATGCAACTCCGTTTTGGGTGCGTTGTGTTGCCCGACACGGCGTTCGTGATGAAGGTTGCCGCATTACCTACTTTTTTGACGATCTATTTCTTCTCAGACAGATTGTGCAAGCTCATCGCGAACATGACGTGTTTGCAGTCCACGATTAGAGAACACAGTTATGGGCACGGAATTGGGGAACGATTGGTTCTCCCATATTTTTGGCTCACGTATTTGTCATACACGCCGCTGACATTGGCTATCGTGTCACACATGCCGATCAAGGGAGGCGCATTCGATTGCACCCTCGAGGCATACAATGGGGGAGAGTGTTATTTAATCGCTTCGCTCATTCCGCCGGCCCATATTGTCGCACCGTTGTGGGCTAGCCGAGTTTTTGGGGCCTCTTGGGGGCCGTTTTTGGGCCTCTTGGGGCCTCTTTTGGGCCTCTTGGGCGCCTCTTGGGGCGTCTTGGGGGCCTCTCGGGGGCCTCTTGGGGCCTTTTTGGGGCCTCCTGGGCGCCTTCTGGGGCGGAGGGCTCGATTTTTCAGTTCTCGGTTCTCTTCTTGAGCCCCTCTTGGGCCCGTCTTGGGGCCTCTTGGTCCGTCTTGGGCGGCACTTGGGCCGTCTTGGGGGCCCTCCTGGGCCGTTCCGAGGCCGTCTTGGGGGCCTCGTGGGCCGTCTTGGAGCGGTCTTGGGGGCCTCTTGGGCCGTCTTGGAGCGTCCGGAAGCAGAAAAAGCCAGAACGCAAAAAAAAACATAGAAAAAACAATGAAAATCAACGATTTTGGCCTCTTGGGGCCCTCTTCGGAGGCCTCTTGGAAGGCCCTTGGGGCGTCTTGGAGGCCTCTTGGGCTGTCTTGGGGCCCTGTTGGGCGTCTTCGGGCGATCTTTGGCCGTCTCGGGGCCCTCTTGGACCGTCTTGGAGGCTTCTTGGGCACCTCTTGGCCCGTCCTGGGGCCCTGTAACAGGGCTCCGGCATCTCTGGCCCGACCTTGCCGGGACCTTGCCGGGGTACTTTTCGTCCCGGGACCCCCAGGGGCCGCCCTAACCATACCGGAGATCTTAGCCCCCCCCAGGGCGCGCGCGAACTAGAAATACTGTTAACCAGGTACCGGAGATCTTAGCACGCCCTGGCCCGTTGGGCCGGCGAATTTGCGCCTTGATTACCGTATCAGTCTTTCTATTTGGTCATACGCAAATGTGGTGCGACCTTTGGCCATGTCAGCATTCGTGGTAATTTCGATCGGCGTACCTGCATCCTACGTGTTATTTATGTGGCGCGGAATCAAACGAGCACGGCGGAAGAGGCTGGTTGCCAGTTCAGACGATGGCGAAACTTGGAATGAGCTAGTTATGAAAGAAACAGGCAGATCTTGGAGTGCCCTCTACGGGCATTATAAGGCTGATTATTGGTGGTTTGAATGTGTTACAATGTATCGACAAATGCTTCTCGCAAGCGTTGCTCTTGTCGCTGGCGAGACTGCGACTGGCTACATATTCTTTTCCATATGCATCGCCTGTTGCTACGCCGTAGTTTTAGCGTTCTGCAAGCCGTACGAGCGAGAGTGTGACAACCGCGCGCAGTTGCTGGCCACACAGGCGCTCTTATTAATGTTTAGCTGTCAGATCGTCACATCAAACACTGCCTACGCGGAAGACGTACCGCATGATCGACACCGCGCCGAGATTGGAGAAATGTTACTAATCGCCGTCTACATTGGCGTCTTCGTCGGTCTGACACTGTACGTGATCATCCAGACTATCCCCCCAGAGTTGAGCGATCCTGCGGAGCGCGCCATCCGAACAGCATTCGCGTGGTGCTGCTCGAATGACCACGAAAGCCGCGCACAGGAGCGTTCGCCGCCGTCGTTCAAGATATCCTTGCAAGGGGTGTCACGGGGAAGGGGCGGGACGATTCGCCCGCCATTCTTGTGCGACGTGGAGGCAGAGAAGAGTCTACCGCTGTCGACTCGTTTGCCGACGCGAGTCTATCGCTGCCGGTGCTCTCGCTCACGCTTGTGTAGGGCACGTCCGCTACAGGACCTAACAAGCAAAAAAAAAGTAGCCTGGCGAAGGACCCAACCATATGCAGCTGCGAGTACCGCACGGATATGAGACGAAGGAGGGGGCACGCAAACTAGGCCCTTCTTCTCATAGGCACCGCGCCACTGCATGGACGAGGCGCAGGGCAGCGCGGGCAGGAGGTGGCGGGCGGAGGAGGAGAGCTCACTGGGGCGAGCCAACACATCAGTATCATCATCGCATCGTGAGACCTGTTAGGGCCTTCGGTGGAGCTCCCCATGGGGCCACGAAGCGTGTGAGGGGTGTGCCAAAATTGGGCGGCGGCGGCATGCGGACGCAGCCATTTGGGCCCTCGGTGGAGCTCCCTATGGGGCCGCGAAACGTGTGAGGGGTGTGCCAAAATTGGGTGGCGGCGGCATGCGGACGCAGCGCTCCTATGGGGCCACGAAACGTGTGAGGGGTGTGCCAAAATTGGGTGGCGGCGGCATGCGGACGCAGCCATTTGGGCCTTCGGTGGAGCTCCCTATGGGGCCACGAAACGTGTGAGGGGTGTGCCGATGATGATGATGATGATGATGATGATGATGATGATGATGATGATGATGATGATGATGATGATGATGATGATGATGATGATGATGATGATGATGATGATGATGATGATGATGATGATGATGATGATGATGATGATGCTGATGATGATGATGATGCTGATGATGCTGATGATGATGATGATGATGATGCTGATGATGATGATGATGATGATGACGATGATGATGATGATGATGATGATGATGCTGATGATGATGCTGATGATGCTGATGATGGTGATGATGATGATGGTGATGATGATGACCGACAACCACGATGTGGATGATGATGATGACGATACTCATGATGATGAGCATGATGAGGATGGTGATGATGATGGGAGGAGGGGGGAGGGGGCAGCGGGAGGAGGAACGCGGGGCACCGTCTCTTCAAAACGAGGACCCAACACCACAGGATGGTTGGGAAACAACAACAAAAAAGATGCCTCCAAGGCGCCCAACGAGGCCTCGAAGAGGCTTCCCGAGAGCGCCCCGAATAGCAAACATCAGCGATTTTGCAGAAGGACTAAAAGGACGTCGTTATCGCCTTTTCGGCTTTCCGGTGCTCCAAGACGGCCCACGAAGCCCCCAAGTTCATCCCCCAAAACGGCCCAAGAGGCCTCCATAACCCCCCACGCGGTCTATCCCCCCACGCATTTTGAACACCTCAGAGTGTCAGGATTCGTGGAACAGCCAGGTTTTCCCATGGGGACGCACGACGCCTGGCGCCTTTTTCAGAGCACTGGGGCGATCAGCCAAGCCGGGAACAGAAGACTGTCAGGTAACTGAGCTCGGGTGGCCGACAGCAGGCAATCGAACATCTGATTATCTACTCATGTGCTGTTGGAGTTGTTTGCGTGGGGCTGCTTGGATCGCGTGGGTGGGTGGATCGCGTGGGCGGTTGGGAGTGGGTTGTCCAGTCCTTAGCGTGGGGCGTTTAGATCGAGTGAGGGTGTGGATTCGGTGCGCGGGGAGGAGGTGGAACGGGCCGTTGGGCGGGGTTGCATGGGGGGACATGTTATTGAGCAGCGGGCAATTCAGGATGACCACTATGCAGACTTTCGTGGAGGGTCAACACGCAGATACCTACCATGGCAGATCGATGTGTGGGGGTCATGTGTGCTATGTGATTCCTGCATGCTCCGCTCCCACACTTTGTGCACGGCGCTGAACACGGTCCAACCAGTATCCGCTGAAATCGACAAGTAAAACGCTGGACACTGTCCAATCGATATCTTGGATTTGCGGTGGTATGGATGAGGATTAGCGATCGGAGCAGACAGATGGCAGGATACATGGTATCGGGGAACAAAGGAGAATTCCTAACCCTTCTTATCCATACAGTTGCAGGCACAGGTCCGGAGCCAACGCGGTTCCCCCAGATCGAAGATCTTGATCTCAGCGGTAGACGTGGCATTGGCATGTGGATCTACTCTAATACTTCCTCAGGTACATCGCCATCGCGGTGTTCGTCCTGATGAATCTGGTCGCGAACAACAGTTGTTATAGCGCTGCGTAACCGCTTCCTTCTTGTTTGCTGGAAGATTCGACGGAACACCCATGTGACAATTTTTGTTTTCCGTGAATATCGAAGACGCTTACGGTGAATCACTGTCGCCCTCTGCATTTTGGAAGCTCCTATGTGGCCGAACGTTGTGGCCAGATCTCTGCCACACTATCGGACTGTGTGATCCCCCTGCCGTCGTGGGACCTTTCGGGGAACCTGTGGAGAAGGAGGAAGAAGAGGACGAGAGGAAGCAGAAATCATGAGGAGGAGGAGGAGGAGGAGGAGGAGGAGGAGGAGGAAGGCCAGTGTAAACGCAAGATGGATGAACTATTTGTTCTTTGGAATTGTTTCGTTCGAAGACAAACGTCTGAAATCGTCGATCCTGCCAACACATCATTCCTTGGACGTCAGCGCCGCGCATCAACGTTACGGTTGCGTCTTGGCAGCCCTTAATCGTACCAAAACACCATTCCTGGAATTTCAACAGTGCGGATCAAAGTGATTGATCTTTCGATGGTCCTAAGTCGTTCTGGAACTGCATTTAGGATTGCGAAACATCAGAATTTTGCAAACTGTTGTAAAATGTTACAACGAATGTGCGCGGCGCACCGGCGAGAGCCACGTTTTGAAAACGAGCCGTCTTCCATGTGTGAAGCGTTTGCCAATGTTTAAAACAAGTGTCCGCGTCGCATAGGCGAGATCCACGTTTTGAAAACATCCCGGCCTCTATACGAATGTGTGCGGCGCTAGCGCGGCAGTGCTGCTCGAAGCTTGGGGACGCACCGAGGCTCGCACGGTCGCCGCCAGGCGCGCCGACTTCGCGCACGTCGGCGAGGGCATCGACCGATGGGCCACGCGGCGCTTACTGGAGAGCGACCAGCTCGCTCTGGATGCAGCCGGCGCGCTCCAGGCGGTGCTGGCTGGCAACGTGGTCACGGAGTCGGTGGCGGCCAAGTGGGGGAAGCCTGCGCGTTGCCCGCACTGTGGAGCTGATCGGGAGGTCCGTCAGCACCAATTCTGGGAGTGCCCCCGCTGGTCGGCCACGCGGCAGGCAGCGCTCGCCGCCGCTGGGTGCTCGGCCCCTGCCCTCCTGGCCCGCCTGCCGCATGGCGTTGCGAACTCCGGAGTCCTCCAGCAGGACCCACTGCTAGCGGCGCTCGCCGCCGCCAGCGCGTCGTTGCCTGCTCCCGCGCTGCCTGCGCCCGCGATGTTCCAGAGCTCGCCGCAGCGTTGCCGGGCCTGGACGGACGGGGCGTGCGAGCACCCGGAGGACTCTTTTGCTGGCCCGCGCAGGATGGGGTTTACGGCTGGAGTGCCCCGGCTTGCCTCCCGACGACCGCGCTGGCCCTGTCGACGGCGAGCAGACGGCGCAGCGGGCCGAGGTGACCGCAGCGCTGCACGCCATCAGCGCGGCAGGCCGTCCAGTGGAGATCGTCACCGATTCGCAATACGTTCGGAAGGGGGCGATGGCCCTCCATGCCGGCGCCTCGCCGCGCGAGTGGCAGCACGCAGACCTGTGGGCCTTGCTCGAACCGCACTGCCAGTCTGGGTTTGTCACCGCGAGGTGGGTAAAGGCGCACCTCGACGAGGAGGCGGCGGCGCGACGAGGCATCTCCGAGGAGGACAGGCTTGGGAACGAGGCTGCCGATCGCCTGGCGGGCGCCGCCGCGGCCGCCCGCCTGCCTGCGGCAGCCTTTCGGCAGGGGCGGGCTGTTCGGCTGGCCGCGCTCACGGCGCTGCAGAGCATGTTGGCTGCGGTCGAGCTCGAGGCCCTGAAAGCCAACCATGGGAGCCGCGGGCCAGGCAGCCCCCGCGTCCGTAGATGGTGGACAGCGCCCAGGCCCAGGCGACGGCAGCCCCGGGAGGTGGACGACGCGGTCGTGGCCGCTGCCGTGGCCCCCCCCCGCGGTTGACGGCCATGCGCCGCGCCGCGTGGCGTGCGGCGCGCACCGGCCAGGTGTGGCAGCGGCGGCGCGAGCGATTTTTGCCGGCGGCGGCTGGCGCGCCCACGCGGCATCGCAAGGCCCAGGCTGGGTGGCGTGCCTGCGCTGTGGATGCTGGGCGCCGCGGTGGGAGCGCCTTGCGAGCCGGCCCTGTGGCGGGCGTGTCTCAGTTCTGCCGCCGAAGGCGGCTGGTCTGCTGCTGCTCCTAGCGGTGCGGGCGGGGGGGCCCGAAGCTGAGTGGCGCGCGGCTTTGCAGGCGCGCCTGGCAGAGCGCCGCGGCGCACCTGACAAATTAGGTGCTGGGCTGCGCGCGCCCTCGCTGCGCGCGGCCGCTGGCCGCTTGGCGCGTCGGCGCCCGTGGCCCGTTTCCTCCCCCCTCCTTTCTTCCTCTCCCCCCCTGCCTCCGCCACTGGGCTTCGCATGGATGTCAAAAAGTGTGCGGCGCTAGGGCGGGGGCCCACATTTTAACAGCAGCCGCCCCCTCCATCCGTTGACTCCCAGCAAGCTTTTACAGCGAATGTGTGCGGCGCACAGGCGAGAGCCACGTTTTGAGAAAGAGGCGTCTTCCATTCGTAAAGCATGTGCAATTTTTCGTATGAATGTGCGTGCCGCATCGGCGAAAGCCACGTTTTGAACACCTCCCGGCCTCTATCCGTGCAACGCATGCAAAAGTTTCGAACGGATGTGCGCGGCGCTACGGCGAGAGCCATCTTTTCACAGGGGACGCCTTCCATCTGTGAAATTTTGGGAAACTTTAATCCGAAGGTGCGCGGCGCACAGTCGAGAACCACATTTTGAAAGCAGCCCGCCGTCCATCTTTGAATTTCGTGCAAGCTTTGAGACGAATATGCGCGGCGCCGATGCGAAAGCTTCAATCAGGAAGCGGCACGCCCTTCATCCGTGAAGCTGATGCAAATTCTCAGCTTCAGGGTCACACGTCGCGAGGAAGTCTCAGGCGAAACGCCGGGCCCGCATTGCCGACATGTCTCGGGGAGCGACGGGGAGAAATTTTTCAATATGAATGGGGAAGGAGGACGAGGAGGAGGAGGAGGCGGAGGAGGAGGAGGAAAAAACCGCGTGGGAGCTTCTGCGGCACCCTTGAGGCCTCCTGGGCGCCTCCTGGGGGCCTCTTGGAGGCCTCTTGTGGGCGGGCGTTGTGCAATTTCCGTTCGTCTTGGGCGTATTTGGCCCGCCGGACGCCGTCGGAACCGGTGTTGGGGTCCTCTCTGGGCCGACTTTGGGCTCTGATGCGGCGCTTCCGGGCCGTCTTGCAGGCCATGTTGGGCGTCTTGGACGTCTCCTGGGCCGTCTTGAAGCCCTCTTGGGGACGTCTCGGGGGCATTTTTGGCCGTTACGGGCCATCTTGGCGACCTCTTGGGCGGCTATCTTGGTTCTCTCCTTGGGGGGTTAGAGAACCGAGAAACAGCAAATTCGCCACCCTTCAAACACCAAAGTAAAATTATCGATTTTAGCATCTTCTACTGTTGGAGATCCTCTGGACGGCCTCTTGGGCCATCTTGGAAACCTGTTTGGGGCCCCTTGGGCCGTCTTAGGCAATCTTTGGGCCATCTTGGGCCGTCTTGGGTGCATGTCGGCCTGTCTTGGTGACATATTTGGGCTATTTTGTGGGACAGTCGTAGCCGTGTTGGAGGCATTTTGGCGGCGATGTTTCTGGTTTTTCCCCGCATGCTTCGTGGGGTTCTGGTTTCTTCCCTGCCGCGCCGCACTCTCGTCTCACACCTCCTCCTCCTTCTCCCCCTCCTCTTCCTTCCTCCTTCACCCATCCCCACATGCTTCGTGGGGTTCTGGTTTTCTTCCCCACATGTTTCGTGGGGTTTTGGTTTTCTTCCCTGCCGCGTCCCACCCGCGACGCTCACTCACTCATTGGCCTCCCTCAGCACAGCACAGCACACAGAACAGCACAGCACACAGCTGCACATCACAGAACAACGCAGCACAGCACAGCGCAGCGCAGCGCAGCACAGTACAACACAGCTGCACATCACAGCACAGCGCAGCACAGCACAGCGCAGCGCAGCACATCACAACACAAGCACACACACATACACACAACACACACACACACACACGCACACGCACACGCACACGCACACGCACACGCACACGCACACGCACACGCACACGCACACGCACACGCACACGCACACGCACACGCACACGCACACGCACACGCACACGCACACGCACACGCACACGCACACGCACACGCACACGCACACGCACACGCACACGCACACGCACACGCACACGCACACGCACACGCACACGCACACGCACACGCACACGCACACGCACACGCACACGCACACGCACACGCACACGCACACGCACACGCACACGCACACGCACACGCACACGCACACGCACACGCACACGCGCACGCACACGCACACGCACACGCACGCGCACACGCACACGCACACGCACACGCACACGCACACGCACACGCACACGCACACGCACACGCACACGCACACGCACACGCACACGCACACGCACACGCACACGCACACGCACACGCACTACGCACACACACACGCACACGCACACGCACACGCACACGCACACGCACACGCACACGCACACGCACACGCACACGCACACGCACACGCACACGCACACGCACACGCACACGCACACGCACACGCACACGCACACGCACACGCACACGCACACGCACACGCACACGCACACGCACACGCACACGCACACGCACACGCACACGCACACGCACACGCACACGCACACGCACACGCACACGCACACGCACACGCACACGTCGCACACGTTCGCACACGCACACGCACACGTCACAACACACACAGAGCGCGCAGGGCGTGGCAGGTGTGGCACGTTCCTCACCCCGTATGGGGGTGCGCAGGGGGTGGTCTCCGAGCGCGGCGTCTATGCGGGCCATGGCGCAGGGCGTGGCAGGTGTGGCACTTTCTCGACCTCGTAGGGGTTGCGCAGGGGGTGGTCTCCGAGCGCGGCGTCTATGCAGGCAATGGCGCAGGG